ATGGTGTTTAATTTTTATGCTAGATGAAATATTTAGTTTCGAATTATTTGCGGATGTAAATTTATAGTAGTTTGCTGATTTTAATTAAACAGGTTCAGAAATTGTTGATATATGTATTTTTTGAATGTTGATGATTCAATTTATTTGTTGGTTTGAATGATTTCTTATTTTTACAGATTATATTGAATAAATTGGATGAATTATTATAAATTACAGGTTTATTTTTGATGGGTATTGGCGACCAAATTTGGTTTTTGTTTTTATGTTTGGCGACCAATTGATTGGTCACAAAATGTCACAATTGGCGACAAAAAAATTTTGGTCGCAGAAATGTCACAATTGGCGACCATATATTTTTGGTCGCGAAATGTTCCAATTGGCGACCAAACAAATTTTCGTCGCAGAATGTTACAATTGGCGACCAATTGATTAGTCGCAAAATGTCACAATTGGCGACCAAAAAAATATTGGTCGTGAAGTCACAATTGGCGACCAAATTTTTTGGTCGCAAAATGTCACAATTGGCGACCAAACAAATTTTGTCGTCGGGAATGTCACAATTGGCGACCAAATTTTTTGGTCGCAGAATGTCACGATTGGCGACCAAATTTTTGGTCGGGAAAATATCACTTTTCGCGACCAAAGTGTTTTGGCGACAAAATAAATTAGTCGTGGTAATTAAACCATTTTAGCGACTAAAAATTTAGTCGCGAAATTCAACTTTGCCGAACAACCACACTAAAATTTTGGTCGCGAATTACTTTTGCCGACCCTCAATTGGCAACCAAAGTAGCGACCAAAAAAATTGGTCGCGGATAACTTTTGCCGACCAAAAATTGACTTTTAGCGACCAATTTTTTTGTTGCCAAAAGTGTTAATTCTTGTAGTGGCCTTTTGAATTTCATTTGATAACACTAGCCGACAGCTTTCTAGAAAAAAATGGAAAACACTGCAACCTAACCCATCAATACTAGTCAAGCCAACATTTTCTCATTGTCAACTTCCTCAATTACATCCAAATTTAGCCTCTATTTAACTCTTTAGAATCTTATCCTAATGAGCAATAGCTAAACAAAACCCCCCAAAACTCCGTATAAAACAATGCTCGCACGTCTTATTGAATGAAGGTTTAACAACTCCAAGAATGTGTGATGTATACTTGGGAATAAATTTGGATCACACATTTTTTTTTTCTTCATATTTTTTTCCGTCTGAATTCTTGATTCATGCCATTACTGTAACTCCTATATTTTTTTTTTGAACGGCAAAGCAAGAGACTTCATTGATGAAAATGTAGTACAAGGTACAAACAAATTACACCAATAAAGAGAAAAGAGGAGCCCAAAGTTGGTGAGGAACCAACGTAGGGGAGTGGCCACACTAGCAAACAGATTACCAGCTATCAAAACAAAGGAACAAATCAGCAGATCACCCTTGGACTGAACACCAGCACCTTGCATCACCAACCACTGCTTTTCCAGGTCAGATCACCAGAAGAGAACATAGCAGAATCAACAGAACAGCCGATGGGAATTGAGCAGATCAGCACAGAACTGAGCAGAACTGAGCAGATCAACATACCATCAAGTTGAAACAAATCAGCACCCTTTCTTACCCTTAATTGATGCAGTGCCTAACAGCTGAGATGTTGTACAGAAAATCATTGATCGAAAAGTGGAGCTTCGTAGACGTAGCTTTCAACCAAATGGCAATCCTGGTAACAATGAGCTCTTGCAGCTCCTGCAGATTTGGCGAAGATGCTTGGAAAAGACATTCATTCCTGTGTTTCCAGATGGACCATAGAGTTACTAGAGGAATAGCATTCCATATTCGACGTTCAGACTTTCTGCAATCATAACCTGACCACCATAGTAGCAAGTTTGGGACAGAATTTGGGGCAACCCAAGTAGTCCCCCACCACTTTAACAGCCCAGTCCAAACTTTCCACACCTGAGGACAAGAGATTAGAACATGTTCTGCTGTTTCCTGCTGTGCTTGACAAAATATGCAAAGGGTGGAGGCAGACCCATCTAAGATACCAATGCGCTGAAGGAAGACAGAGGTTTTTAGCTTGTATTTCCATGCGAGCCAACTGAAAAATTGCACTTTGGGCGGGAGATGCTTGTTCCACACCAGACGAATAGGATAATTACATGCTCCATGGGCAATGCTGGTATGATTGTAAAAGACCGAGACAAGAGACTGCCCTGCAATAGCTTCTGACCATACTGCACTGTCTTGGGCTTCCAAATTAAGTGTGGGAGTTGGATATAGGGTGGTGGTAAGTCTAAGTAGTTCACTTTTCTCCCAGTCAAAGAGGGGCCTCCTAAATGTGAAAACCCAATGCTGAGTAGGGCCAGAGACATCCACAAAGTCCTTGCATGCAATGCTGCAATAGAGGGAAGTGCTGTCTTGCAAACTCCTTTGACAGATGATGCAACTATGATCTTTTGAATTCTGTTGTTGACTTTGTTGTTGTTGTAGTGGTTGTTGATGCCTTTGCTTCAAGAATAGCACTTTAGTTTTATTTGTATGATATGCCTGTGTAAACATTGAACAAGGTGAAATAAATGAACAAGTAAAATAAGTATAATTAATTAATTAGGAAGCTATACCATCTGACAATAATATTATTTCCCTCTTCACGCTTTATAAAACCTCCACCACCACTTCAGGAGTAAGCACACATTTGCATCCTTAACTCTTCTAATGCCCAACCCACCCTGCTTTATACTCTTGGTAACTTCTGACCATTTCACTAGGTGGATTTTTCGCCTTGAATCTGAGCCTCCCCATAAGAATGAGGCTTGAATTTTGTCTAGCTCCTAAGCAACTCCTTCAGGCAATCTATAAAGAGACAAGAAATATACAGGTAAGCTTGATAGTACTGCTTTCACCAATATTAATCGGCCTGCGAAAGAGAGGAGTCTCCTTTTCCAACCAGCAAGTCTCAACTTAAACTTGTCAATAACAGGTTGCCATGTTTTCTTTCTCCTTGGATTCGCTCCCAAAGGCAATCCTAAATACTTGAGTGGAAGGGTTTGGGTCTTACAATTCAATAGGGATGCAAAAACAGCAAGTTCCTTCAACCGAGATGTCACTACTCCATTTGTTAAGTCAGGCTCTCCTGCCACATCACCTGCCACTTTGGCAGCCTTGTCATCATCTTCTCCTTCTGTGGGGTTATGCTGGATGTTGTGCAGTGCACCATTAATTTAATTGATTTTGAGGCCTGAAACCACTTCAAAGCATCTGAGTATTCTTTTCAAAGCAAGGACTTCTGATAGCTCAGCTTCGCAAAATAGTAGTGAATCATCTGCGAATTGTAGGTGGGAGAGTCGCACTTGGTTGAAACCAATAGATACCCCTTTTAGCAAATTCAACTCCGCAGCTCTCTGAAATAGTATGTTTAGTGCCTCAACAACCAAGTTGAATAGGAGTGGTGATAAGGGATCGCCTTGCCGAAGACCTTTTTGGGGGCTAAACTCCTTAGTTGGAGAGCCATTGATAAGAACTGAGATTCTCGCAGTGGAGACACATTCCCGCATCCATGAGATCCATTTTTGTCCAAACCCAAAATTTGTAAGCATTGAGAATAGAAAATTCCAATTGATGGAATCAAACGCCTTTTCAAAGTCTAATTTAAATAGCAACCCTGCTTTCTTGGATTTATTCCAGCCATCCACGACTTCATTTGCGATCAAGACTCCATCAAGAATGCTTCTACCCCCCAGGAAAGCTGATTGTGAGTCCCCGATTACCGTAGGCATGACTTGTTGAAGCCTAGCTGTGAGTACTTTTGAGAGGATTTTGTAAACAGAGCCAATCAAACAGATGGGTCTGTATTCATTTAATGACACAGCTTTCTCCTTTTTTGGGATGAGAGTAATAAAGGAACTACTTAAACCCGGAGCCAGTTTGCCATTAGCATAGAAGTCTTTCATAAAGTTAAGAATATCAACTTTGAGTAGCTTCCAAAATTTCTGAAAGAACAACAGGTTGAAACCATCTGGACCTGGGGCTTTGTTCCCATTGCAGTAGACGTGTCTCTCTTGCTGAAAATGCATACCCGATCTCCATTCGGTAATATATTCAGACCATTCTCGAAACCAGTCTAGAAACAGAGGTTTTTTATTCTGCAGTTCATCCTTGTTGGGGAATGATAGCAGCACATCCCGCCCTCCTCCTTCCCTGACCATCACATTTTGTTCACCTCTGTTAGTGAGTTCATTTTTCACCTGTTGAATAGAATGACCCATTTTGAGGCGCATAATTAGGCTCTCGTATAGCCAACCATTACCAGTCTCTGTTACTTTGATGGTTATTCTTGATGTTGGTCTGGGTTGGTCCCCTTTGATGACTTCCGCAAAAGACCTGCCATCAGTGCCGTGGGTCCTTGTGTTGATGTTTGCCATGGCTGGTATGAGCCTTGTCGAATGTTGTCTTGATCCTGTGGATCTCGGTCTCGGCCTTGACTCCGTGTGCTTATCGTACTCTGCAACTTTGACTGACAGAGATTTGTCATCGATCCATAACCCGTTGGCTTTTTGTTCTGCGACAGTGGCTGCAATGGAACAATCATACCGAACAAACCCAAATCTTGAGTTTGTTACTCGCCTTCTCTTTTGGGGGATGAAGACATCCTTAACCACACCAAACTTTGTGAACAAATCATATAGGTTTTTTGGGTTCATAGACGCCGGCAAGTTGTCCACAAAGAGTGTATACAAGCTGACTCTTCTACCATCTGACCACGAGTTCTGGTTTATCTGCTTTCTTCTTTGATGCAGCACAGGGATCCAGCCACCTAATCTTCCTTTCTCTTCGCAGATTGTCATGTGATGTGTTGATATTCAAGAAAGTCCTACTGTAACTCCTATATATGTATCAGAAGATCATAGTGTGAGTATTGCAATATTGGCTACCCACAAAAAAACAATGGCAGGCCTCAAAGATTACTACAATTCCTACCTCTGTGTTTTTGTCATATTGACTATCACTTGTAGTTGTGCCATGGCCTCAACCTCACCATCTCAGGCAGTCAAAGGGGGCTACTGGCCTTCATGGGCCTCGGATTTTCCTCAGTCCGCCATCGATACTACGTTGTTCACTCACATCTACTATGCTTTTCTTTCACCTAACAATGCCACTTTCAAGTTTGATATCTCAGACTCAACAGCTTCAATGCTCTTGAATTTCACGTCTACGCTCCACGCGAAGAATCCACCGGTGAAGACAATTTTTTCAGTCGGCGGAGGTGGCGAAGGCCCGGTTATCTTTTCCAACATGGCATCAACTGGTCAGTCAAGGAGGAGTTTCATTGAGTCATCCATTGAAGTAGCAAGAAAGTTTGGTTTTGATGGTGTTGATCTTGATTGGGAATTTCCTCAAAACCCAAAAGATATGGAAAATTTAGGCCAATTACTCCACGAATGGCGGGCTAAGGTCCACCAGGAGGCTAAGGCAACGGGCCGGACTCCTCTCTTGCTCACCGCCGCCGTTTACTTCTCCGTGGACTTCTTCCTCTCCGACGTCCAACGCTCGTACCCGGTGGGTTCGGCTAAAAAGAACTTGGACTGGATCAATGTGATGTGCTACGACTACCACGGGTCATGGGACACTTCAGCAACGGGGGCCCAAGCTGCGTTGTTCGATCCAAACAGTAACATAACCACAAGTTATGGGCTTCGGTCATGGATCGAAGCTGGGCTCCCTCCAAGCAAGTTGATCATGGGCTTGCCATTGTATGGGAGGACGTGGCAGCTCAAGGACCCTAGATCACACGGTGTAGGAGCTCCAGCTGTTTCCGTGGGCCCGGGATCAGAAGGTGTCTTAACTTACTCCGAGGTGGAGGCGTTCAATAGAGCGAATAATGCCACAGTGGTGTATGACAGTGTCACAGTATCTACGTATTCTGTGACGGGAACATCATGGATTGGGTACGATGATGTCAGATCAACAACGGTCAAGATAGAATTTGCTCAAGGCCTTGGGCTTCGTGGATACTTCTTTTGGGCCGTCAATGGTGATCATGATTGGAAAATCTCAACACAAGGTAGAGTAATTTCAAACGTAAAGTAAATTTATAACTCATGTAGTTGGGTATTTAAACATATTAATTATATGTCTAAAAAAAAGAAATTTACCCTCACGGAAAAGTTATGCACCCTAGGTTTTTTTTAATAAAATTAATAATTCAAAGTTGAAAATTGAATTATGACCTTGTAAGCTGAAAATTTATTTGATAAAAATTTAAATGTTAAATTAGAATAAATTGTGTTGATATGCACATGATGAAATTTAAAATATATTATTTTTTATTTTTATATTATGGTGATAAGATGGTGGAGGTGGCGGCTAGTATGATGCCGTGGTAGATAGTGGTGCCAATGATGGTGGATGGGTGGTTTAGTGGAGGTAGAGAAGTGGTGGTGGTGGTTAAGGGTCGACCCTTGTATATTGCAGAATCTCTATGGCAACCATAGTGATGGTGGTGGAAGTAAAAGGTTGTGGAGGTATTGAAATAACAATAACATTTGTGACGACAATGACAATGGTAGTGGAGGTGGTGGAATAGTGGTGATAATGATAGTAGCTATGCCAGAGGCGTGATGATAGGCATAATAAGGGTGGATATAGGTTAGTCATTTAAAGTTTTAAGCTATATGAATTGTGATTATCAAATAGAATTAATTGATTTTCATTTAATATATTTAGATTTAAGTAATAAATAGGGTTACAAACACCTTGTATGTATTAAAAAAAATAATAATAAAAATAAAAGTAAAAACTTAGAAAAATATTATTTCAAATGTGTAGATCATATTCATACTTGGACATGGCCAAGCTAAAGAAATATCTCGAAAATAAAATATATTTTGTAAATTCAAGCATTGTTATTATATGAACTACACCAAAAAATAAATTTAATTCATATGTTTTATTTGAAAATATAGTTTAAAATATCTTGTACGAGTCTTGCATTTAATCTATTATATTCAAGAATTCTTCCATGTGTCTAAATATACATAAACCTATATGAATTATTTCAATCATTCTTGAAAACAAAAACATGAACACACAATCATATACATGGAATTTTCTGATTTCAAAACTTTTTGTCTCTCTATTCTAAAATATCTAAATCTATTAAATGATATTTTGAAATTATTACAATTTAAGATTTTCATATAGTTATTAGGAGTGTTTTAAGGCAAAAAAATAAATAAATTTAAAAACAAAAGATCCTTAGCCCACATTCATATATATATGCATGCACACATGCAAATCGTGTAGTTCAAATTTGAACACATATCATTTTATGTTATTCTTCATTCTAATACAATGTTGGTGATTGTGCTTAATGGTTGTGCAGCATCAAAGTCATGGATTCTCTAAAAAAAATTAAGTGGGAGCATGAAATGCATCTTTGGAATGGAATTTTTAGAAGAAAAGCCGGCTTTTGTTCTGGAACATCACACCAATAGGCTATGTATGTTTTTAATGCTCAAATCTTATATGTAAGGATTAACGTTATTCTTTATGTTTAGATGTCATGTCAATGTCCTTTTTTTTTTCTTTTTCTTTTTTTGGTGCTTCAATTCCTTTCACTTGTAGGTGTGTGTAAATGTGAAGATGAAACCATGGAATCATTGGATAACAAGGAATCTATCTATGCTGTCAAATAAATAAATGAAATGATCTGTCCCTGCCTTTGTCTTCGTCTTTGTCTTCATGTTTATGTTTGTAATTGTTTGTACAGTAATATTACCACTTCATAAATTTTATCTCATTTTTCAATTTATGGTTATTTTTTTTATACTTAAATTTCACACTATACCAATTTAATCTCCGCCATACAAATACATTATGAATAAAAATTTAAAATAATTGTTCCGAATCAATAAAATTCTTGTTGTTTATATGATGGTTTGTGGAGATAAAGGGAAAAGAATGCAAATAAATCTAAAACCATTAATGAGATTTTACTTGATGATCATAAATATTGCTATTAATATACGCTATATTAAATTAAGATTTTACAGACAAAAATTTAAGAATAAAGTTACTTTTTAGGGACAAAATATTGTTATTGTAACATCCGCATCCTTTAATTCATTGGAAAGTGTATTTAATTCCCTTATTTTCATTTTTTTGGAGAGTCCTTGGTGTTGTTGAATTTTGGTTTTGAAGGAGTATGATCCGATTTAAACTCATTGGGTTTGTTCGTTCGCGTTTGTTCTTGTTAAAAGTTCCTTGGAAACTTAGAAATTTTGCCTTGGGGTCGACACTAGCCTTCCTAAGGGTCGACCCTTGTATGTTGTAGTGTTGCTGGAAAATAGGGTAGACACCGGCCTTGGTGGTGTCGACACCTGCCTCTTGTTGCTATCCACAAGGGTCGACACCAGTCTAGGAAGGGTCGACCCTTGTATATTACAAAATCTGTGTTGTTGGTTGCTGGAAAATAGGGTCGACCCTTCCTGTCAAAGGGTCGACACCTTGCCTGTTGCACATATTGCTTCCCTTCCTTGAGGGTCAACACCTCTGCCCGAAAGGCTCGACCCCTGCGTGTTTTTTTTTCAGATTTTTGGGCCGGTTTGGGCCCTACTTTTGAGGGGTTTTGTGTAACGCCCTCAAAATATCAACATTAAACCCATCAGATAAGACATGCATTTACATATAAACTAACGACATTCTTTTATTCATTAGAGTTCCATTACATAAGTATTACATGTTAACATCAAAACAAAATGCCCTACGGGCTTACAGCTTTCCAAGTTAACACTTGGTTACAACAAAAGAGTACTAACTCGTTTACACATTAAGCCCTTGGCTTGAAGTTACATGTAATACATCAAAAGTAAAACAACTACACTATGTCCGCCTCTAGCCTCCCAAGCTATGTCCCGGATGCACCGCAAGGCGCGAATGGTGAAACTCTCGGAGTACTTCCTCACGGCAAGCCTTCGGTACAAACAAACGGTCTCGGTATCTCACACTCAGGTCGGGATACACCATCAAACCCTTCTCAACTTTCCCACTGGAGATCTTCTCTCGGAGGGATTCTACC